TTTTTTTTTTTTTTTTTTTTTTTTTTTTGTTTCTGTGGACTTTGAATAAAATGTGTTTTAAGATGATAAAATTAAATCAATTTAAATGGAGCCTGGTGGGTTTGGCCACTGCGATTTCTGGGCTGTTTCTGGTTAAACAAAAGGGATCTAACTCTTAACCAAAAAGGTCTATCTCTGTAGGGATCCTTTCAGTAATGTTGTCAGACAATTATAATAAAAATCGGAGCCTGTCAGTGGCAAAAACAAGCACTTTTAGTGGGCGTAAATTGACAAATGTCCCAAGAGGTTACATTCCAGCCTCAATACTGGACCAATTTCAAAAATCGTTGTTCCCATTAGTCACTTAGACACAAAACACATGGGAAAATAGGATCCAGGTTGCCCCTTAAATCATTAAAACTGACCAATGTGGCTCTTTGACACACTTTAGGGTGCTATAAACATTCATATATGAAAGTTTCATACTTGGGGTACTCTCAGAGTCACTAAAAAATAAATCATACTAGTAAAGATTTAACAGATGACATGTCTTTTCAGTAATCTCTGCCACATAAAGCACTCATTCTAAATTGTTTCTCACATGAAACAGAGAACAATATTCCCTTTGTTTCAGCGCAGTACTTAAGAAAACATGAATAACCACATTCCCTCAGTACGCGACGAGAGTCCTCTGTCCAAACTGTAAAGTCAGACCGTCCTCTCCCTGCCCCCCCTGTCCTGCTTAGATGGAGTCCAGCAGCGCTGCCAAGACCAAGAATGACAAGGCCTGGAGGAATGTGTCGGAGGAGATCAAGAGGATCTTCCGAACAGCGGTGCTGCAGCTTCAGGAGAAGGGGACCATGAAGAGCGCTCAGGCCAAGAAATTCCTTTGCTCTGGTGAGATTCAGGTCGACTTTCGCTTTCTTTCTTTTTGTCTTTTCATGTCTCTACTTTTGATTTCTTTTCAAGTTGGAGCAGGTCTTACTGTGTGATGAAGGTCACGTCTATCTCGTTGGTTTTCTATTTGGCTTTTAATATTTGACCTCATATTGTAATAAGGCTGAGAAACGACAACCTCTACGATCTACCTTTACCTACCTTTATTTCATGTTGGGTCACATATCATATCTGTTCTTTCTTGAGCTAAACAGTGAGTTGATTAATCAATTCGTCCAATGAGATGAAAGATTTTGAGAACCAATTAAGAGATGAAGTCATTTCCTTGTCAGAAATGCCAGTAAAATCATTGGTTTTAGCTTCTCAAATGTAAATATATTTGCTATTTGAAAATAATACTTGCAGCCTTAGTTGCTACAGTAGATAAAGTATGTAAAGAGGATTTACAGTCAGTTTATTTCTTCTACAACAGGGCTATTTAACTGTATTGTTCAGGGGGCCAGGAGGCCAGATATTTCCCTGAGCTATTATCCTCATTATTTTTGTACTCTTGACACAAAATACAGCGCCACATTTTCAAAACTTTTATTTCACTACATTTCAATTTACATTCTTACAGCCTCTCTGGTCCTCTGCTCCGTGTAAACAGCCTGAAGTTTATTTGAAGTTTCACAGAATTTTAGTTATGTGACTGTTAGTCTCAGCCGAGTCATTCATGGCCTCCCAGTTGCGCAAAGGAGTGTGGAATTAAATGTTTTTTACAAGATCTGGTTTGTGCAAAGGCTTTATTTTTGGCAGAGATATTTAGAGGTTATTTTGATTAAATATCATTATTTTTTAGCATAAATTTGGTTCCTGCATGTTCCTACAAAGATGATTAGATACAGTGACAGCAGCTGGGCCCCATTCATTCCAGTGAAAGTTGCTCAGTGGTGCATGAAGCCAAAAAAGTTTGAATTCCTGGATATAGAATTTCCCAGATTTTCTGCATCCTTGGGCCCATAGAGAAAGCGCACTGAAGACTTTGTTGACCGTGCTGGCTACTTCTGGTTAAGCACTCCACTAACTTGAATGGGTATGTAATGATTCAAACATGCAGCTCTTCTCGACTTTTCAGTTAAAAGAGACAAAACGTGAAAACAACTTTTGAAAGAACTGACAAAAAGTTTTGAGGCAATGAAAGACAGTCTAAATGAACTTAAAACTCCAACATGCTCTTCAATAAAAGTGTGTTTTAAGAAGGAACTTAAGACATCGCTGACTCAGCCGACCTGATTTCCTCAGGCAGATTGTTCCAGAGCCTCGGGGCCCTGACAGCAAACACTCTGTCCCCTTTAGTTTCAGCAAGACCTCTGGAACAGACAAAAGATGTTGTTAAGATATTGGACTGAATGGATTAAATCCCAACAGTGAATAGGGGCATTTTAGGGGGTTTGACACTCACAAAAATGTAGCCACTGACTCATAGACGCCTCTTTCCCATGTCTATGGGAAAAAGTATTTTCGGGCCCAGTGGCAGCATATGATGGACCCGGTCAGTTGTAGATAAAAGTCTGGCCACTTTGAAAATGAGCCTCAACGCATGGCGCTGTTCCTGGAGGCTTGGTTTCCTGACTGAAGCAGTTGGACAAATGGTGCATTCATGGCCTGTCAGAAACTTAAAAATGGGACAATACTTTCTGTTTTTACAATTTCTGGTGATGATAAATGGTGTTGCTTGTAATTTTGAAGACTTTTTTTTAAAAGAAAAGCATGTCTTTGAAACCTGCTGATGGGTTGTGGGGTTCAGAGACACATAGCTAAGTACTTGGGAGCAGTCTGCTTGTTTTGAGGATTTATTGTGGCAACATATCCAATATTGGCACGATCTTTTCTTCTTCAGGATTTTAGTTTTATTTATTCGTGAACAGAACAGATCGGTGGGCTGGAGTTGACCTCCAGTTGAAAAGGCCTGTCCTATAAAATCAAACAAACCATACCTTTACACAAACACTTCCTCTGAGAGTTCAAATATAACAATGTAGGGCTGCAGCAATTAGTCGACTAATCGATGACTAATCGACTACTAAAATAATCCGTGACTATTTTAGTATTCGAATAATCGGTTTGAGTAATTTTTCATAGAAAAGTACTATAAAGTATCCCAAAATACTCTTATTGCAGCTTCTTACATTCAGATATTAGCAGCTTTACACACTCTCCCATGACGGTGAACTAAAACTCTTTAGCGTGAGTACAAAACAAGACATTAGATGACAAAATTTAACACATTTTTCGATAAAATGATTAGTCGACTAATTGAAGAAATAATCAACAGATTAGTCGACAATGAAAATAATCGTTAGTTGCAGCCCTATAACAATGTATGTCTGGTATCATTTCTGTTTCATCTCATTTTATTTCCATATATTTACATACTTCTATTTCAGTCTTATTCTTACTTCTTATAATTTTCTCTTCTATACATCGGAGCAACAGTGACGAATCATAATTTCCCCTCGGGGATCAATAAAGTATTTCTGATACTGATTCTGATTCTGATTAAAATAATATTTACGCCTCGTATCCACTCATGCAAGCGTACGGAGACGAGTCAACAGGCAGTCCATTCATTTCTATGGGAATCTCTGTGATAGCCAATGTGCCTGCGCAACTCCTCCCCTCTGTAAAATTTTGGTCCAGAATTTGTCTTGAGTACGTTAAAAAATTTAGCATTTGGGGTGGATTTTGGAGAGACCGCATGAATGTGTGCTAGCTTAGCTAACAGGCCATTTCTGTCAATTCAGTTGCCTGTTCATTGTCAAGTGCATTTCTATGATTAAAAATAACTTGTTTATCTAGTTTTAACGCATTGTGAATCTGAGTAATGTTGTTCTATTAAAATATGGTTATCCATTATACTGATAGATTGTCATTATGGCTCGTTCTGCCGTTCATACGTCTTTGTAATGACTTGTTTTTATAGTAAAACAAATATTTATTAAGTCACATACATAAGATGAAACAAGGTGCTGCATGCCAGGGTTTCCCAAGCAGAGGCAGAACATCTGACAGTGACAATGATGGGAAAAAAACTTAAAAATATAACCTTAACCTTCATAGTGAGAAAACATAAAAATCACACGTCAGAGATCACATATCTAATAAGAGAGGCTGCTGCGTAGCCCGTCATCTTGTAACTGAATTGGTAACAAGAGATGAGATGCAATCAGGATGTGTCAGACTCAGCTTGGCAGATGACAGTGATTGATCGATCGCACCGTACGTTCACCTCTCAGTGATTAATCCAAACAGTGTGCCGGGATGTCAGGTAGACACGGAGATTTGTTAGATGACTTTACAAGACCACTTTTACTTTTTATTCATGTTTTTTTTTAATGTTACTGTGCAATATTTTCAGTGATTATTGGGGTAATTATTGAGGAACTCTGCTGCATGTGTTAGTCACCAAATCACAGTTTGCATTCAACGTGGTTCCCGAAAATACTAATTATTTTCATCTAAGGGGCCAATCTGAGCTCTCCTACTAGGTTAAAACAGAATATTATATAAAGACAAAACAGTTATTTTCAGTTTTCCTTCCTTCGCTGGTACTTGCAGAAGCTAAAGGTACAACTCTGACATTTGAAGAGTTCCTCCCACTGTTTATTTTCGCCCTGTTCGGTTGACTCCACATCAGCTCCTGTCTGTAAAAGACTCCATTTGGGAATCACCAAGTTATTACTGAATTGTTTGGACAGCACTGAACTAATCTTTCAAGACATCTCTTGTTCTTTCCTCAGGCTGTCACTGTGGGAGATGATCTAAGCAATATGCCATCAGGATCTGTTGACAAGTCCTTGTTTTATTGGCCTCTTCTAACAGAGCAGGCACAGCACAGCACAGTGCACAGACTTTTTTCACGGAGGAAATAAAGAAAAATACAAAGCTGATTAAGTGACTGAGAGTTTTATAATTTCCCATGAAAAGGAAGCAGCTCTTTTTGTCAGGAAACTGCACTTTAATTGAGCACTCTGGGCTTTAATTGTACCATATAGAGGAAGTTGTGCCGTCTCCTGGAACTTTTCCTTTCACACTTTTCCTCTCTCCCACCTAATTAGTAGGCGACCATGTGAGCTAAACTACACAGGAGATGCTGGCAGAGTTTCAGTCCGCCGGCTCTTTGTTGGGGAGCCTGTGATACAGTTCAGTAGTGCTGGCTTATGTGATTTTATCAACTGTGTTTCTTCTTAAATAAGGCTCCAGAGAAATCCATCTAATCGGAAGCTAAAGGAACCTAAAGTCTGTTCAGCTCTGCTCCTGAAATAGATTTAAATCCTACATCTGGTTGAGGTTTATCTTTGGAAGTTGGTCATAATAATCCAGAGGTGGTCCTTATCTGCATCTGGCCAGATGCACTGTAATCTAAGGTTTTCAAAAGTTATCACATACACTCTTAGAAATAACTAACTAGACGCATGGAGGGTTTCTTGGCATGTCCCCAAAGGAGAACTCTCTTTAGTTCCTGGTAGAACCCAGCATATAAAGGGTTATAGCTTGAATTGTTTATGAAAGGCTCCACACAGGACCTCCTATGATACACTTCACCTACTTAAAGTAATGCACCAAAATTTGTATGCATCCCACCTAATCATGAGCCAATAATTCAGGTATAACCCACGTATTTGGGATGACTGTGATCACGTGACCAATTCGCTGACAGAGGTAGAGAAGGAAGTAGTCCGCTAAGGATGCAGGTTGTGGTGGTCGGGTCAAAAAACACAGGACTTTCCCCAGGAGACCAGTGTTTGGAACCGGGTCAACTTTGAGTCATTTTTAAGTACATCATTACTTTTTAATTAGTTCTTTTTTCTGCGTATATTTAATAACATAAATAGAAAGATGCCCAACTGTGTTTCTTTTAGTTGGTGGTTCTGGGTAGAAACTCAGCCCGTCAGAAACCCTTGTTTCTAAGAGTGCACAGAGAAGTTAAGAAAAACTTGTGTTTTTTTTTTCTTATTTCAGCCTTGGAGGATGAATTGGACTTCGCCCTTGGGAAACAAACTCCTGCCTTTCTCAGGAAATGTGTCTGTTACATTCGCAAGATCTCCAACTTCGACCGCTTCGCCAAAATCCCCGAGATGACCCGATACATGGACATCGTGGTGAGCGGCGACCGCATCATGCGCAACCAGGAAGCCTACGAGCGCCTTCTGAAGGTGCGGGACGAATTCATCCCCACAGTTGTTGCTGCCTCCAACCTCCGTGTCTACTCTTCGGTCACGCACTGCGACATGAAGCTCGGCTACTCCCAGGAAGTGGAGAGCCATTACGTAGAGGGTCTGTGTAAACAGTTCTACGAGGACATGGTGGATATCATCCAAGCCACGGTCCAGCAGAACTTTGACACGGAGACGGACCCACTGTACGACGAGATCCTGCAGCACCTGTCCCTCTGTAAAAGCTACGCGGCGCTCTACGAGTTCAAAGCCGAGTCATTGGATTACGTACAAGAGTACCTTATGCCGTCTAAGGGGAGCAGAATGAGCCCCATGGTGGTGTACGGGGGACCGTGCACTGGGAAAACGCTGCTGCTGTCTGAGGTGGCCAAACAGGTGAGACATCGTAGAGAGAATATTTAAAAACGTTGGTGTTATCTTTCTCTTTTTGTCTGATCCCCACACCTGCTGCTCTCACACTCTGGCCGCCTCTCGCTGCGTGTTCATGCTTGTGCTCTCCTGTCTGTCTGATCTGAGCATGTGTCCATCTTTGTACCACAGAGTATGAGGGGGCGTGCAACTGTTCATCTCTGCTCATCAAACGCTTGCTTGACCATCTGTGTGTCTGCCAAAAAGACAGTCCACTGCCACGCACATGTCTCTAATTTCCCGTGAAGCCGTGCACTGTACACATCTGTACAGAGGTTTGCTTTTTAGACGTTTGTGTGCGAACACCTGTGGATATTTCTGCAAAGACATTTGTTACTTAAAGTGAGCGTGCATGTGGCTGTGTGTTTGTGCGCTGTATTCTCTGCTCACTCTCTGCCTTTGTGTGTGCCATCTGGCCGCCCGGCTACATTAGGATCACACCATAGCCAAGATCACAAAGCACACACCCACAGATCTACCCCTCCTGTCCAACCTTTGCAATAAACGTCACACTGATACACTCATTATTTATTGTCAGCACCATTCATATCATCCGAGTCTGCTGTATGGTTGTATAAAATGTTACAAGCAATAAAACGATGATCAAAGCCTAAACTTCAGAGTTAAAGATTACCAGAAGACATCAGATTGAAAGTAAAAACACTAAATGTATATACACACTCTCACAGAGCAGAGATTGGTGAGTCAGGAGAAGGTGTGTAAGGCCCTGATCACACAGAAAGTGTTTCAGCAGCTGGAGACGCCTTTTTGTAATTGTTGTCAATGAGAATGAAGCTGTGTGCTCGTGGTTTTTGTGTTGTGACCTGCCTCACATTTCTGCACTGTAGGTGCCTGGTGTTTTTGCCAGAGCACTCTGAACTCCTCGAGTTAAAAAAAAACTTCAACTCAGAGCAGAAAAACACCCCACGTGTTCTCATTTTTCGTCATCTTTCTTCCAATTGTCCAGACAGATGATTTGAGAGGCGGGCCTTCTGTGGTGGTCACGACAACAAGTTTACAGTTGGTCAACAATGGAGGAGAAACTGTAGTAGTGGTTGCAGGATACCCAGAGCTATACGGCCCGACGATAGACAGCAGGTTGTCAGACTGCCTCTGAGTCGTCCTAAAATATGCCTGGAAACATCCATCATGGAGGAGAAGCTCCTGGACCAACGGGTGGCTGCACGGGTGGCTGCATGAGTCCTGCACGGGTCCTGTTTTCAAGATCCGCCCCGCCCCGACCCGGCGACATACACACCCGCACCAGAACTGCAAACCCGCGCATCAGGCCAATTAGTACCGCAACCCAGTCCGACCCGTTGAAACACGACCCGCAGCCCGACCCGTAACCCGGATTTAAAGTAAACATTTTGCGTTATATTGGCTGAATATTGAACAGCATATCGCCACAGTTAAGGTGCCAGTGAGTAAACAACGACCTGAATGAAGCAGCTCTCACAATAAAAACCTGACTTCAGCTCCATCATCAACCCTCTGTGTTCTTCTCCCATACGAGTGTAAAAGCACTCGTTTGTTACATTTAATGCTTTTAAACTTTTAATCTATGTAAAGGAACTTTACATGTGTAATAATAGACTTACTTTCTGTCCAGAGCGACGTTCAGCAGTTACGAGCCGTCACGTGTTTTTAGAATCCAATGAGGAGAGAAGTAATCCATCAGGGAAACACTTCAGAAACATTATAAAGTGATAGTTGTACATTTTATCCACTTATTTCTCAAATACCTAAATAATTATTTACTGTTTACTGTTAGATGGTGAAACGCGTGTAAACAGCTGAACCATTGACCGTTGCAAAATAGCGGAGGCGATCCTCAGAGAGTAAATAATGACCAAGATAGTTATCTGTAGTTTACCGAACTAATGACTGATGTGTTTATCTAAAACCCGCGATCTGACCCGCGTGTTATTTTTTCCACCCAGATCCAAACCAGGGAAAAAATGTTTTTTTAAAAACCACCCGCAAATCAGCTGTTTTTGTGGGTACCCGTCGGGTCTCATGTACCCACACAGATCTCCTTTTATCTGTCCCCAACAAACTATCTGCTAACAGCCTCTCACGCTCAACCAGAGCTACAGCAAGTACACTCTGCCTTTTTAGTTATTTGACAGTAATTAGTATCTAGTTCCTGTAGATAAATGGAGATCTGTGTGGGTACATGAGACCCTAAAATAGAGAGTGGGTCATGGGGAGTACCACCAGTTGGTCCAGGAGCTTCTCCTCCATGATGGCCATTAACAGGCATATTCTTGGATGACTCAGGAGCAGTTTGACAACCTGCTGTCTATCGTCTGGCCGTATAGCTCTGAGTATCCAGCAACCACTGCCACCAGTTTCTCCTCCACTGTTTACCAACTGTAAACTTGTTGTTGTGACCACCACAGAAGGCCCGCCGCCTCTGAAATCATCCAAGTGGAGAATGGGGAAAAAGCAGAGATAACGTGGGGCGCTCTTCCTCTCTGAGTTGAAATTTTTTCAACTCGAGGAGTTCAAAATGCTCCAGCAAAAACGTCAGGCACCATAGAGTGCAGAAATGTGAGGCGAGTAGCAACACAGAAAGTGCAAGCAAAAAGCTTCAATCTCATTAAAAGCGATTACAGAAAGTGTCAGGGCCTTAAGGATGAAAAAGTAAAAGGTGATATTTAATGACAATTCAGCAACAATCAATTTCTACAGCTGTCATCTAATTCTGCTACAGATGGAAGTTATTGTTTCAGTGCATCGGGATCACATGTCTAGTTTCCATCAGGGGAGTTTACCTGTTTTCACAATCTGTCCTGATTTTTGTGCCACGAACGTCTTTGTTCTTTCTTGTTTTCAATACCAGGTGGAACTTTCAGAAGATTCTCTGTAACAGGCTGGTAGTCACACTGTGTTTCCTCCCGTGGAAACAAGTTTGCTTCAACAGAAAAAAAGGAAAAACAGTTTGAGAACTTCACAAAAATCCTGATATTAATTTCACCCATTTAAATTCTCACAATTAAAAACAGCCTGTTTTGGCTCAAGTAGATGAAACAATTCATCCAAATGAGTGTATGATTTATCAGATAGTATCCAGTATTTTTAAACTCTTACTGCCCACACTGATTAGCATACTGAATATTCTCACAGCTCTGCTGCACTAACACACATACAGTGTGTGAGTGGGCTGTCCAGTTCACATTAGGTCCTGTATTACATGTGAAACTGGAAAGTTTAGCACTTAGTTAAATGCTGAAAAACAACTAGATCATAAAGTACTTGCTACCAGAACCTGGATGTTGATCACAGCTTTTGAATGACAGTTGTAGTTTTCGGCTAAAGTTTCTCACCACCGTATTGTCCTGTGTATTAATCTCCAGCCGTTCACCACTCACAGCAAGTTAAAATAAAACATAATAGAACGAAATCCTCTGCGGCCTCAGTGTTTGAAGGAGAGAGGGATGTTATTAGATTTAAGCGAGACTAAAAGGGGAAAATTCACAGAGTTGAAGTGGTCTGGGGCCACTGTGCCGAACAACTCTGCGCTCCAGTCCACAGGGTGTAATTCAGAGCGAACCTGTTTGGTTTGATTCATCTGAACCCCGGAGCATTTATGACTTTACTTTTGAGCCAGACCTCATCAGATCTACTGGAATACAGAGGTCCTCTGAGTGGGCTGAGCTGTCGGAGGTATGTCCAGATTACAAAGCTAAAAATGGACAAACTTATCTTTATTAAGCTTTTCGTCATATCATAGTGCAGGATACAGAATGTCTTTATTCTGTTTCTAACATCTCTGACAAATAAATTAATATATCCTCTAAACTAGATTCTAAACACAAGCAAGGGAGTTCAAGTATCTCTGGGATTTGCCCAAGAGTGAGGATAGAATGGAGTGTGAGATGGATCAGCAGTTCGACGCGACATCTTAAGTGATACAGGCGTTGTTCTGGACAGTCGTGGTGAAGAGGGAGCTGAGTCGGAAGGCAAAGCTTTCCCTTTATATCCCAACCCTCACCTGTGGTCATGAGCTCTAGGTAGTGACTGAAAGAATGAGATCGCAGATACAAGCAGCCAAAATGAGTTTCCTTCAAAAGGTGTCTAGGCTCAGCCTTAGAGATAGGGTGAGGAGCTCGGACATCTGGAGGGAGTTCGGAGTACAGCTGCTGCTCCTTTGCTTCGAAAGGACTCAGTTGAGGTGGTTCGGCCATCTGATCAGGATCCTCCTGGACGCCTCCCATTAGAGGTGTTTCGGGCATGTCCCACTGGTAGGAGGCCCCGAGGCAGACCCAGAACACGCTGGAGGGATTACATATCTCATCTGGCCTGGGAACACCTTGGGGTCCCCCAGGAGGAGCTGGAAAGCACTGCTGGGGAGAGGGACGTCTGGGGTGCTTTGCTTGGCCTGCTGCCCCCATGAAGATGGATGGATGGAGATGGATGAAGATGGGTGGATGGAGAGATGAAGATGGATGGATGGAGGTGGATGAAGATGGGTGGATGGAGAGATGAAGATGGATGGATGAGGGATGAAGATGGATGGATGGAGGTGGATGAAGATGGGTGGATGGAGATGGATGAAGATTGATGGATGAAGATGGATGGATGGATGGATGGATGAGGATGGATGGATGGATGAGATGGATGAGATGGATGATGGATGGATGGATGGAGATGGATGAAGATGGGTGGATGGAGATGGATGAAGATGGATGGATGAAGATGGATGGATGGATGGAGATGGATGGCTGGATGGATGGATGAAGATGATGGATGGAGATGGATGAAGATGGATGGATGCATGGATGGATGGATGGATGAATTAAGATGAATGGATGAGATGGATGAAGATGGATGGATGGATGGATGGATGGAGAGATGAAGATGATGGATGGAGATGGATGAAGATGGATGGATGCATGGATGGATGGATGGATGGATGAATTAAGATGAATGGATGAGATGGATGAAGATGGATGGATGGATGGATGAATTAAGATGAATGGATGAGATGGATGGATGGATGGATGGATGGATTAAGATGAATGGATGGAGATGGATGAAAATGGATGGATGGAGATGGATGGATGAAGATGGATGAAGATGGATGGATGGAGATAGATGAAGATGGATGGATGGAGATAGATGAAGATGGATGGATGGAGATGGATGAAGATGGATGGATGGAGATGGATGGATGAAGATGGATGAAGATGGGTGGATGGAGATGGATGAAGATGGGTGGATGGATATAGATGGATGGATGAAGATGGGTGGATGGATCTAGATGGATGGATGGAGGGATATACTAGATTATTAGTGTGTTTCCTGGCTAGATTTGATGATGGCTTGTGGACAAAATGTGCAAGACATTCAAACTATCACTGCAGATCGCGAGTAGGTGTCATGTAGAAGAGCTGTTCCCCTTTGTAAACCTATGTTTTGTCATCATGTTGCACTAGATTGTATCTTTTTGATTAGTTGCAGTTGATTATAATATGTTGGTACTTTCAGTATGTGCTATATAAGCTTAAAAATCCACCTTGAAAATGATTGAAAAGTGCTTGAATTTGACTTTGGAAAAGGTGTAGGAACCCTTATAAAAGTGAGAACAGGGTCTCGTGTTTGATATATAATTCAAATCAGTCCACTGCGACGAGAGGAATCCAGGTCAAAGTGCCATCAAACATTTGTGGGACTCTGGGCAGAGCTGTGTGTTGCACAGTGATCTGTCTGTCAGTCGCAACCAGCTCAAAAGATTCACAGCGACTGTGTGTGTGTAAGGAAAAGTATATTTTCCCCACTTTCTTATAAAATTGGATTTGTAAATGTAAAAAGACAGATTGTTTTGTGCGTGCACGCTTTAATAAATGAGCTTAAAGGGAGAGATAATGTCAAAGGGAATTGTGAGGTATTTTATTTGGAGCTTTTATCCTCTCAGTAACTCGCAGCCTCGGGCCTCAGTAGAGTTTGTGATGATAACAGGTGTATAAAGCTACAACACATTTTCATATCATCAGCCAAATAGTACACAGTTGCAGATGAAGAATAATACATATCAGATGATGAATTACACTGGTTGTTAAATAGACTGTTAGAGCATAATATACAGCGGTGTGTAATTGGTTCCTAATGGTAAAATGGCTGCTTTGGCACAGTGAGAGAATATTGGCAATGCAGGAACGAGTCATTGGAGACTCTGCTGAATTTCGGGCTCATGATAATGGTTGGCATTTACTGCATGTAAGAATAAAGTTAATTAAAGTTATGTAGACTTTCATTTATGTCTGATTGTAATGGTGGGTGTGAGGCTTGTGCATACAGATTCACAAAAGCGATGCTGAGAGAAAATGAAACCTGTACATTATGTTTTACAGCTCTGTGATCTTGCTTCCTGTTCTGCAGGTACTTTGGGCTGTACTCAGTGTAACATAGATAACACATGGCATATTGTAGTTGTCTTGTAGTTTGAACCCAGGGTGGGGGAGCCCTTGTATGTGGAGTTTGCATGTTTTCCCCGTGTCAGCATGGGTTTTCTCCGGGTACTCCGGCTTCCTCCCACAGTCCAAAGACATGCAGGTTAATTGGTGACTCTAAATTGCCCGTAGGTGTGAATGTGAGTGTGAATGGTTGTCTGTCTCTATGTGTCAGCCCTGTGATAGTCTGGTGACCTGTCCAGGGTGTACCCCGTCTCTCGCCCAGTGTCAGCTGGGATAGGCTCCACCCCCTACGACCCTTAACAGGATAAGTGGTTACGTAAAATGAATATTGTAGTAACATTTTAGTTGTAGATAATTTAAAAGGTCCAGAGTGTAAGATTTAGGGGGATTTAGTGGCATCTAGTGGTGAGGATTTCAGATTGCAACCAGCTGAAACTTTTCCCACCCAGAATTCCTTCAGTGTTTATTGTTCAAGAGGTTTTTACCAGGAGCCGAATTATTTGTAGAGATCTCTTGCTCTCCAAAACAAACAGACCAGGTGATTAAAACTGGTAAAATCACTGATTTCACTGTTTCTCTGATGCTGTTCGCCATGTTGGAGATGAGCTGCTGGTGAGGCTTATCAGGGTGGGACAGACAATCAGACACAGGTGAAGACATCAAAAGAGAGAAATATACAGTATACAGAAGTACAGAAGTATACAGAATCTGAATCTCACTCTGAGTTACTGTTGTTGTTCACAGACTAAAGAAATGAGAAATACTTTTAGTTTTTACTGAGTATTTGAAGCCAAACTGTTGGTGTTTTTCAAGTTTTCCAAATATCTTAGTGTTGTGATCATTTTATTTCTAGCGTTACAGCGTTAGGTGGGAAATGCGTACATGTCCCTAATGAGATCGACTACGTATATTATCCCTGCACGATCTAATCTGTAGCTGGAAAATATTTCTCCGACCTCTTCGTGTTTCCACTATTTTCTCCTTTGATTAAGGAACTCTGAAGCATCTTAAAAGTCCTCCTGCTCCTAACAGGTTTTCACCTTCGGAGCTCTTTTCAGGGCTAAGACACTTAGTGAACAGTTTTCCAAGAAAACGTCACAACTCTAAGAATTTTCTTAGAATGTCGTCACTAGAAGCAACTCTTTGTACAAGGAAGCTTTGTCAGACACGGCCCCAGATGTTTAAGAGGTTTTTACTGGGAGATGAATTATCAACAGAGGTCTCTTTCTGCAAACTTTCTTAGAAATACTGCAGCCTATAACTAAGCTACATAATGATATTTTACAGTCTGCTGATAGTTGTTGCATCCGCACAGATGGAAGAACATCATGGCTCAGTGACGAAATTACAAAATAGATGTTATGACTGGGTGCACTGAATGCAGAAAACCTCTTTAACACTGTAGCAATCATGTGATAGATGTAAGAAAAGCTAAGCCTGTTGCTGTGCAGTGACTCAGTGTTGAATAAACAGGTTGTTAAAATGCGACAAAGACAATACCCGCCAGTGATCAACATAAGGCAAGTAAGCCAGCAAACACTGAGACGCTGAAGGACTTTTGTTTGAATGTCCAGTGAAGACATCCTGTTTTGGTTCAAAACAGATACAAAATGAAAGGCGTTACTTGGCCGTTGGCTGGCAATCCTTCCTGGGTGCCCAGGCAACTTCAAACTACAACGTTGACATGCACAAATAATAAACAATGACACAATTGTGACATTAACCCCGGTCTCCCGGATGGAAGTCCTGTGTTTGACTCATATATCCACCACAACTTCCTCTCCATGTGGACTCTGTCACTCTGTATACTAAGACAAATGACTTCTGGCAGAAAGCCCTGAAAACTACTTGTTCTTCCATGTGCAATTAAAGACAGCTTAAGACTTTTGAAACTTTTACAAACACAACAGACTTTAAAGCTCTCCAAAACAAACAGACTTGGTGATTTAACCCGGGAAAAAACATTAAATAAAGTAGTTTCACGGTACAAGTCAGTGTTTTTCCAACTTCTAACTACAGTGGCCAACACAAAAATATGAATGGCCCTATCTAGAGCCAGTGTTTGGTTTGTGCGTTCTGGGCAACTGTAGATATGTGACGAACTCCATAGACAAGGACCTGCTCCCTATGTAGATATAACGGCTCATTCTACGGTAACAAAAACACAACTACTCTTACTTTAAGGTGGAAAGAAAACACACTTATTATATTATATTGCATTTCTGCCAATAGATCCCCCCTTGATCATACTCTTATCTGATCACTTAATAAGTAAGAGGTATTATAAATTCATTCAATGCAAGCGTTCAATACTTATTTCAGTCGGTATGTCAACAGCAATGAGGTCCAACTGCTCGAAGTTAATTGTTTTCAGCACACTAATCACCTTAAAATAAGACTAGTTGTGTTTTTGTTACCTTAGAATAAGAATGTCTACATAGGGAGCGGGTCCTCATCTACAGAGTCCGCCATGTTTCTACAGTAGTTAGATACGACTGTACACCGATACACTAACAACAAACATACTTCAATATATCCCCCTAAATCTGACACATTGGACCTTTAAATCTACTGACAGAAACGATGCCTCTGTCTTTCTCTTCCCATCTCTCACACGTACACACACAGCTAAATGTGGAGCAGGCGTCATCACTATTGGCCTAAAAGTGTCAAATAACATCTTAATGTCTCACGAAATCTCAGCTGGGCCATTTAATGAATTCATGAATGAAATTATTATATCAATGAAGCCTCAGAAATTGGAGTCGTGCTCATTCATAGAACGTCTCTCATGATGAGAAAAAAACTATTCACTTATGAATTAAATCTGTGTATTAATTACTTTAAGAATGTTTGAGGGCATTAAAAATGAACATTACTTAGTTTAACACATTTTTCTGTGCCTAATAAAAGTTAGCACACATACACTGCCATGAGGTAAAATGTCTTAAACCTCTTCTTGCTGTGTATTGGAGTCAGGCTTTCAAGAGAGCATGGATAATTTTCACTTTCAGTTCAGTTTTAAACATTTTAGCGAGAAGTTTTCTTCATGAATTCAAGGTAACATGATTAATTGATATACAGATGGTCATTTTGTGTGAGAAGTATTCCTTTGAAACACTCTTACATTTGAAAAATGCCCTATATGAATCCTAACAAACATCTCTCTGTGTTGTTTTTCAGGCCTACACGTGGCTGCAGAAAGAGATGGGCCCTGAAACCGATCCAGTGGTCATCGTCCGTTTCATCGGCTCCAGCCAGCTCTCCACAGACCTACGCAGCCTCCTCCAGAGCATTTGTGAACAGATTGCAATAAACTACCGCTGCCTGATTCACTTTTTGCCTAACAAGATCCAGGAGATGAGGGAGCTCCTGATCAACCTTCTAGGGGAATCTTCATTCCACAGACCCTTGGTCATCGTCCTGGACGCCCTGGAGCAGCTCGCAGATGGCGACGAAGTTCGCAAGCTGTGGTGGCTCCCCGTACATCTGCCTCGGACAGTCCGCATTGTAGTCTCAACATTGCCCAATAAACATGGCATCCTGCAAAAGCTCCGACAACTCATCCACGATGAGGGGTATTATGTGGAACTATGCCAGAGGGACCGCAAGGTCTGCAGCCAAACATTAAAACAGCAGCTGCTGGGGGTGAAGAGAAAGGTCACTTCAGGCCAGCAGATCTATGTCAATGAGGCGCTTGCCAAGTGTACATTGCCAATGTTTGTCAACCTCATCTACAGAGAAGTAGTTCATTGGAGGTCTCACAAAGATGTGGACGACAGGTCCCTGTGCTCCACAGTGCATGAGAGCATAGAACAGCTCTTCTACTCGGTGGAGAACAAGTTGGGCCAACGGTTTGTCTTTAGAGCATTAGGGTACATCACCATGGCCAAGGCTGGGCTAACTGAGGTGGAGCTGGAAGATATTCTGTCCCTTGATAATATCGTTCTTGGGGATGTCATTGTGGCAACATATCTCAAAAACCCCTTGAGAATCTCTTATGATTTGGTTGCAAGGCTCAAAGAGGAGCTGGACGGTTATCTGGTGGAACGACAGGTACGTAACGTCACCTTGATGGTTTGGGCCAACAGACACCTGCATCTCATTGCCCAGAAGCTGTATCTTAGCAACGAGGAGGATGTCCATCAAATGCACAGCCTCCTAGCAGAGTACTTCCTGGGGGCATGGTCAGGAGGCAGAAAGAAGATCTTCACTTATGATAACAACCATTTCACTTCCCTGAATATATCTCATCACAAAAACCCCCACCATCAGCAGGCCCATGAAAAAGCATCCTCTGACAAGTACTCTTATGACAGACAGACTCCAGAGCAGCCTTGGGTGTTCCAGTGTAATCTTTTGGAACCTGACATCTTCTTTGTCAACCATAGGAAGATGACAGAGCTGGTGTACCATCTAACCAGAAGTGGGCGCACTGATGACCTCATGTTTGGCGTCATCATGAACTTCAGCTGGCTGTACACAATGATCAAGATTGGCCAGTTTGAAAAGGCTTTAACAGACATTGACCTAGCTTACAGCTACACCCAAGAAAAAGAGTTGAAGTTCCTGGCCACCACTCTCCGTAGCATCAAGGTAAAAGTGCTGAAGAACCCAGCATCGCTGTCTGCAGAACTGCAACAAAGGCTTCTGCCTGTTGTCACCTCCCTCCCCAAGCTCAGACACCTCCTCCTGGAGTGTGACAAAGATGGCCCGAAGTACTGCTCCATTGTGCCTCTCCACTCCTCTATGGACGTCACCTACAGTCCAGAGAGGCTTCCTCTGTGCTCGAGCTACATGCAGATTGTGGAGATCTTGCCCACTCTTGCCCCAAACATAGTCCTTGTAGCCCTTGAAGATGGGTCTGTCAGCACCTGGGATGTTGAGAGCAGACAACTTCTAAGACAGATTGACACGGCCAGATCTGTTGTGCTGGGAATAAGACTAACCACTGATGAAAAGTATCTGGTCGTGGCCACAACCAAAAACACGCTGCTCATCTATGATAATCACAAGTCCTGCCTTTTATCCGAGGTTGAAATCAAGGGGTCCAAGCATGGTGGTGTCGCTGGTGGGGTGGCCTTCATCAATGGTTTTACGCTGTCCACCCATCATGCTTTGGCCTGGCTTGAGGCGAGTAAAGACGTCAACGTCATTGACCTTCTCTACGGTTGGCCTCTCTACCAGTTCCATTGCTGGTATGAGGTAACTTGTGTCCAGTGCTCTCCAGAAGGAATGTATGCCTTCTGTGGCCAGTACCTCAACACTGCATCCATCTTCCATCTGGGAAATGGGGACAAGTTGGCCACTGTGACGTCAGAGTTTTCTGGGGGATTCGTCAAGTCCATTCTTGTTCTGGACACCCTTAACCAAATGGTGATGGTTGACAATGAAGGCAGTTTGTCAGTATGGAACACCAAAGAGATCACCAACCCACGTCTGATGGAGGATTACGATTGTAGAGGGGACGACAGTGAAGTGGTGGGCATTGAGTTATCCGAAGACCAACGCTCCATTCTCATTTGCAAAGCCAGAAGTATCGAGGTCCTGGACACGAAAGTATGGAAAATGGTGGAGAAGTTTAAGGCAAAACGCACTGAACGCTTTGTCGCTGCTGTTCTCTCCAAGAACGGACAAAGCATTGTTGCCTCCATGGAAAACACCTCCTCCATCTTTGTTTGGAGAAGGGACAGTGGACAGTGCATGGCCAGCCTCATTGAGATCTCAGGGGCTATCGTCAAACTCATCAAATCCGCCCACCACAACCTGCTCCTTTCTGTTGCCAGCAGTGGAGTGCTATCTGTTTGGGACATTGACATAATCACCGCAATGTCCAATATCGACAAAACAGGCAAGAAGATCCAGACCTTGCAGCTGTCTGGCAGAGAGGATTATGTGTTTACCATGGACGGTTCAGAAGCTGTCCACAAGTGGAACTTCAGCACTGGTTTTATCGAGACAGTCTTTAAGCACGAGGGCATAGTGGAGAACTGTGTCCTAACCTCCTCAGGGGATCTCATGGTGACTTCAGACGACAAGTCCAGTCAGTACATCTGGCAAACCAACACCGGAGAAAACATCTTCCGCATCAATGGACAGAGAATATCACAGCTGCTAATCACCCACAATGACCAGTTCGTGGTGTCCCTCTGTGAGCAGAACGCCTCCAGAGTCTGGAGGCTCGGGACTGGGCACAAAGTGTGCAACATCTTAGTCACCCTCCAGAACGCACTCATCACTACAGCAAACACTTTTCTCGTGGGAACCTCCAAAAACAAGCTCCTCGCCGTCAGCCTGTGGTCGGGCAGCGTATCCAAGAAGTTCGTCTGTGATGATGGCATTACCATCGTCAACTTCAAGCTCATTCCTGACTGTCCCGACTGCGTGGTGTTCATCACATCCACAGAGACCGTCTTCATCTGGAGCGTGGCAGACGAGTCCGTTTGCAGGCGAGTCCAGCTGCCAACCAATTTCCTTAAAAATCTAGAGGACTTCCAGATCTCGCCCAATGGAAAACTGGGAATAGTCTCCAAGGGTGATGAAAATATTAACGTCCTCGATCTTCACAGTGGGAAGTTGAGGCTTGTCCACGCCGCCGGTATTATTTGGCGTCAGAAATTATCAAGAGATGGACGTTATCTGGTGTACGTCTGTTTCCGGAACTGTGATGAAGACGACGATGCCGGCGTTGTGTCCAATCTGATCGTGATGCGCCTCGCTGATGGCAAGAGCATTGGCACATGCTCCCTCTACAAGACGCCCACCTTCCTGTCTCTCTCCCAGCGAGCACTAAACATCATCATTGGCTTCGAGGATGGCAGCATCGGCACATACACAGTCGTGGATCGTGTGGATGCTGCCCTCAAGATAAAGATTGCCACCTCCAACAGCCGACAGATTGTCAACAATGCCTCGCAGAAGGTGCGGCCCAAATGCGGCAATCATTCCTTTAAGACCGTTGCCGACTGCATTTGGAGGGAGTCAACTGAGGTCTTCTCCAGGGACAGCCCTATAAACGTGTCTGACTCCGGTGAAGGTGAGTCGACCACGCCTACAAAAAAGACTGAACTGCTGCAGTGATAGGTGGAGACCAGAGGAGTGGGTGGAGGTAGGACAGGCAGGCGGAGCTAGGTGATGAAGTTTAGAATCTCTGGGGTTGCAGTTGATTCTTGTTTACAGCCACGTGATTCAGCTGCAGATGTCAGCCCTCTGGGTAGTTAATGGGCCGACCGTTTTAACGCTGCACTTAAATTATGTATTACTTACTTCCAACTTATGATACAGTGTCTCTTTGTTTTACACACAAGACTGTTAGAAAAAACTATGTTTTTGAAAAGAAGAAAAATGTAAAATTCTGTGAGGTATTAGTTTGCCATTATGTGTCCTTTTGCATTTGAAGAACAAAGTTATTATTCAAATGTCTTGGTCAAACATTTCCAAAGCCATTCCAGTGATCTTAGCCACTTTCATTGTACACTTTCTTTATTCAACCCAATCGCCAGAAAAAAAAAAAGTTGGCATCATACATTTCTGCAAACCACAGATATGTCACATTTGTACATACATATGTAGTTGATAAGTTGAAACTTTATGTTTCACCAAGCTGTGGTTAACATGTAGTTAAGTTTAGGCACAAAAATGACTTGGTTATGGTTAGGGAAAGATCAAGTTTTGCCTTAAAATACCTGCTTTTTGGGGCACAATCCTGATTTGAAAGGCAGTGATGTCTTGGTAGAAAACAACTGGTTTTTGTGGCACTATACCCGCTGGAAAAACAGCAATTATTCAATAAAAACACCCACGTTTTGGGGTTGAAAAGCCGCTGTAAAAAAAAAAAAAAAAAAAAAAAAAGCCTCAGATTTCTAAAAAAAAAACACCTAAGGTTGGGGGCTATGTTTCAACAATGCTGTGGTTCATATGTGATTAGATTTAGTCAAAGTAACCACTTGGTTATGGTTAAGAAAAGATTTGGCTTAAAATAGTCTCTTCTTGTGGCACTATCCCCGCTGGAAATGCAGCGATGTCTCTGTAATAAACAATCCCCTTTTGTGGCACTATGCCCAGTGGAAAAGCAGCGATGGGTTGCTGAAAAACACCCACATTTGGTGCCCAAAACCCGCTGAAAATATAGAAATAACTCGCTAAGAAATAAGTACTTTTGTTGATTGTTGGTCCTGAACAGCTGTCTGCAGCTTGGCAGGCTTATACCTACTTCTTGTGGCACTATCCTGGCTGGAAATGTAGCAATGTCTTGGTAGAAAAACAGATGCTTTTCATGGCACCATACCCAATCGAAAAAAAAAACAGCGACAAATTTCTAAAATACAACACCCACATTTTGTGCCACAAAGCTGCTGGAAACACAGCGATGACTTGCTACAAAAAAAGTAACTGCTTTTGTTGACTGTTGGTCCCTAACAGTGGTCTGCAGCATGGCAGGCTTATACTTGCTTTTTAGTGGCACTAGCCCCGGTGGAAAAACAGCGACAAGTCACTAAAAAGAGACCCACATTTGGTGCCTAAAAAGCCGCTTGAAAACAGCAATTAGTCTCTAAAAAGCAACTGGTTTTGCTGTTTGTTGGTCTCGAACAGTGGTCTGTAGCTTGGCAGGCTTACATATGCTTCTTGTGGCACTGGCCTTTCTTGGCCCCATCCCTAGTGGAAAAGCAGCAACAGGTTGCTTTAAAACACCCACATTTGGTGCCTAAAAAACTGCTGACAAAAACAGCAATGACTTGCTAAAAACAACTGGTTTTGCCGTTTGCTGTTGTCAAACAGTGGTCTGCATCTCACCGAGGCGACACACCATCCACCATTCCCTCCACCTCCCAGTGACAAACTCAGCTTAGTCACCACATCACTTTAGAGACGTTGATATGTATAAAACATGGAATTGTAACAATATTCGTCGTTAGCAGAGACATACAATGCCAATATTTCCTTCTGGCGACTGGGCTGCTTTATTTTCATTGTGCACATTAAGCCATACAAGTAGATTTATGTTTGTATCAACATCAGTCGGTACTGTACAAAAAAAAGGAAGAACTATGAACATATGTACATATCCCTTTTTGGCTGCTGCAATTTGTGCAACTCCTTAAAAATGTTATGTTGTGCTTAATGCAATCAAAGTGAGTGCCTGGAATTTAAAATGTTCTTTATGTGCAGATTACAAGATTTATGAAAATGCAGGGAATTTGTAAACACAGTATACACACAGTTACATAATACTTGCATTGATGTTAAATCTAAAGGATCAGCGTGCTGAAATCAAGTCAACAACACGAGAGATCGACGGCATTGCTCTTTGTAATGATAGCTGTAGAAATTTCTCGGAACAGTTTACGTAAATTTGGTGTGAATTTACCGGCAGTTCCATCAGTGTGTGTGCCGTTTGTTTTAAGGGAAACACCACTATTGAGCATACAGTGTAGCATAGCACCATACACATTCACGCCTTAACCAGTGTACTTGCTTTAGGTTTAGTGGAGTTTGTTCAAATGTTCCAGTAGAAAAGGACAGAGTGATTAGCCCAATGTTTCACTGAAACAACTCGGCCATGTGAATATACTTAGAGGTTTAGACAGTAGGTGGATGCACTTTATGAGTGGTTTGTGAGAAATTATTTATTCATATGAAAATGTGTAGATTGTTTAACGTGTTCTAGAGTTGTCTTAAAATAGGTTTTGGATATGCCTACAAAAATACACAAGGCCATCCAGGTACTTGCAGGCTACAGCTAACTCACTTGAAATGCTACAGTCTCTTGATAGATGCCTGGCATCAGTAAAAAAAACAAAAAAACAATTAAGATGCCATTAGCTTAACAACTTCTAGCAGTCAGGAAATTGGAAATTTATGGGATCAAATAAGGGTCAATAAGATTTTGAGCTTGTGAAATGATGTTTAGAGTAATATGAAAATATTTGGTTGCATATCTGCTTTTGTTAACCTGTGAAAAAAAAAACTGCATGGAAAATTCAAGATTGTGATTGTGTAGGGGAAAATGTAGTTGTAGAAAAAAATTGAGACTGTCAACATAAAATAAATAAATGTATAGTAATATATAAAAACACAAAATTCTAAAATTGTATCAACTGTGAGGTTACCCAGAAAAAACCTGCTTTTGTGAGAACAGATTCAAAACAGAAAACATTTCAAAGAATACTTCTCCTCCAAATGGTCATTTAGATATCAGTTACTCGCCTTGTGTTACATTGAATTCATAAGGAAAACTGTTTTTCTCGCATGCCTCTATGGTGCCTGAAGAATCCAAAAATGGAGAAAATTCTTGTTGAACTGAAGTCATTGGGGGCTGCGTTTATAGTAGAACTGTATCAAAACATCCGTTTATAAACTCACGCAATTCATTCAGTATAATCCAAGTGTCAATTATCCAGTCACGAAAACAGAATTTTACCTCACTGAACACAGGAGCTGCCTCAGTCTGTAGTTTGTGTGTGACTTTGGTGAGTCCGAACTAACCCTTTAAAACACCAGAGTTACAAAATAATACCAACTAATTAACCGATCGAGGCAGCAGAGACCAAAAGCTCCCGTGTTTTGGGAAGTAAAAATTACTTGGGATTGAAGAGAGCATAGATAACTCTCACTTATATTTCAGTTCCCCATCAGACAGGGCTGTCTGTTCAGGAAGTACTGAGCATACGACTAGAGAAATGAGACTTGGATTGGACTGCATGAGTCCAAGGTATGGTTCGCTTCAAGTCCGCAGTGTGGTTCGCTTCAGCTGTGCACTGTGAACACTAAGGGTGCTTTCTAGGGATGTCCCAATCCGATCCTCGGATCCAATCACGTTATTTTTACAAAATCGGAATCGGTAATAAAAGATCGGAGGAATCAAAACAACAAAAATGGCCAGGTTTTTCATCTATGTTGTTCATTGTTGCCTCCGCTTTCCAATGTATAAAGATATAGGCCTATTTTGTTTGAAGAAAAGAAGAAGATATTGAATTTGTTTGCATTTTGTGCTGCTGAACCCGATAAGCTTTTTGGATACTATTGAAATAAAAAAGAAACCTTATGGGACAACTTGGATGCAGTCTTTTTTTTTTCTTTCCTAATGCTTTGCAAAGTATCAGATCGGACTTGGTATCAGACTCAGTTTCAAAATAAAGGACTCGGTATCAGATCGGATACAAAAAAAAAAATGTCATCGGGACATCCTTAGTACTTTTAGACCTAGAGTTGTCTTGGTTTGGTCCGAATCAGGGACTAGTTTTGTTATAAAGTTGCATAATTGCCTAGAGTTGGTTGATGTTCTCACAGCAGCATTTACAAGTGGACCAGATCAAATGCCTTGTGTGAGAAAGCTGCTCTCAGAATTTCCATGTGGGAAAAATCCAGGAAGTAAAGCAAACGTTTAAGAAGAGTACACTTGCAAGATAAATGTGACACTTTCTAATGTCACAATGGAGGGACAACTACGCAGGTTGATTTTAGCGCTGCTCATCATGGACTATATTGCTGTCATTGTTCATTTTAGTCAAACCATACAGTTTGAAAACGAGGCGCGGCTCCAACTAGAAACACATTCTCACTGCAAACGAACCGCACCAGAGTTTGTTTGTAACTGGACTGAGACCACCTCTTCAAAAAGGTCTCGGTCCGGTTGTTTCGGTGCTTACCTGAGTGGGATTGCTGTGTTCACACCTGCCCAAATGAACCACACTTTGGGGGCAAACGAACTTGAGTGCGATTGAACCGAACCAAACAGGGCAGGTGTGAAAGCACATTCAGAGGACTGAGTTTGCTTTGTTTTAAAAGGACTACATGTGAAAACACGCACCGTTTTGCAGTTTTTAAACCTGGTCGCCTATGATTTTGATTCTTCAAGAATTTTCTCAGTTTTTGGATTCTTCGTTCATGTTTGAAAAAAAAACTTCACAAATTCAGTTCAGTAATTGATATACAAATGGTCGTTTGGAGGAAGAAGGGTTCCCTTAGGTTACAAATGTAAATCTTTTGTTTTTATGGCGAAATTCATGAACAAGATATTCAATTTAAATCACTTTTTTTCATATTTTCTTGTACTTCCTGCTTCAAATCTGTACTTAGATCACACGAAAGCAGTTCTGTTTTGTCTTTGAGTCACCTCACTGTTGAAACTATTTTTTGCACAAATTTATGCAGACATGCTGAAAATATTTCTACAAATACAAATCTTTTCTTACATATTCACAGTGTTTGCAAGGGTGGTGATACACAATATATATATTTACAGTATCTATTAGCCTTATGTGAGCCCATAGAAACCTGGTGACATCACAGCGGGCTGAAATCAAAGTTGTTGAGATCTGGTTTGCTGACAATCTAAAAGAAGTTATTTTTGAGTTCATCTATGAGGTTGTACCTTGCAGGTACCGCGATCGCATGTCTGTAATAACCTTGCTCCGATGAGACCAATCATCTGCCAGGCATGATTGAAAACCACACACTTACACTTTGACATATACTTTGTAAGGGCTATTCCATCTTATTGTATGTTTACTAGGTTTGAACTGTTGAGACAATGGCCCTTGGATAATT